CTGTTGGGTTTCTTGTATATTCTGGATATTAGTCCCTTGTCAGATTAATAGTTTGCAAATACTTTCTGTCACTCTACAAGTTGGCACTTCACTCTGTTGATTGTTTCCTTTGCTGTGCAGAGATGCTTTCTAGTTTAATATAATCCCAGTTTTAAATTTTTGTTTCTGTTGCCTGTGCTTTTGAAGTCTTAGCGCATTCATGGTCACACCTTCCCCACAAGCCTAACCCTTGGCACTATTGATCAGTTCTTCACTGCTATGATTTTGCCATTTTGAGAATGTTATATAAACAGAATTATATAATACATAACCTTTTGAGATTGCCTTTTACTTCAGTCAGAATAGCCTTGAGATGCACTCAAGTTGCTGGATATCAATAGTGTGTCCTTTTTGTTGTTCAATAGTATTTCACAATATGGTTATCCCAGTATGTCATTCATCAATTGGAGGACATCTGATTGTTTCATTTTGGGCTATTGCAAATAAAGCTGATACATTTTTGTGTATGTTTTTATGTGCAAGATTTGATTTCTCTAGAAAAAATATCCAGTAGTTGTATTACTGGGTGGTATAGTAAGTGAATGTTTAGCTTTATAAGAAACTTCCAAACTGTTTTCTAGAGTGGTGGTATCATTTTACATTAGCATCAGCAATGTATGAGCGATCTAGTTGCTCCGCATTTTGTCAGCACTTGGTATCATAAGTACTTTTCATTTTAACCATTCTAACAGGTGTGTGGTGATATCTCATTGATGTGTTAATTTGCGTTTTTCTAATAGTCAATTATGTTGAAATATAATAATGCTTTACACGTCTATCATGTTTTGCATTTTTGCAAATAATGCTTTAAACATCTCAATAATCCTCAAGTATAGTGTGATATATCTATTTATTTATTTTTTTCTTGTTGAGACAGAGTCTCACTCCGTCACCCAGGCTGGAGTTCAGTGGCTTGATTTCAACTCACTGCAACTTCCACCTCCCTGGTTCAAGCAATTCTCGTGCCTCAGCTTCCCAAGTAGCTGGGATTACAGGTGCCCACCACAAGGCTGGGCTAATTTTTGTATTTTCAGGAGAGATGGGTTTTACCATGCTGACCAGGCTGGCCTCGAACTCCTGATCTCAAGTAATCTGCTTGCCTCTGCCTCCCAAAGTGCTGGGATTACAGGTGTGAGCCACTGCACCTGCCCAGTGTGGTTTATTTCAAGTGATAAAAAGCTGATATATAAATCTGGTAAACAGCAAAGTATTGTTACACCAAAGCAGAATCAAAACATTTTAAAACTCCAAAAGAAATGGCGGTACTTTAGTCCAACTTCCCCATTTCGCAGAGAACTAAGTTCCAAGGGGATTAAATGACTTCTTCTACAACTGGAATCACATCCAAAAACCACACTTCTGATGCTTGAATCTCTTCCATAATGTCCTATCAAGTAAGTGATAATTTATGCTTGAATCTTTCAAGTGACTGGGAAGCCACTCATTTTTTGCACTGTTCTTTTTGGATGTGCTTCCTGACATTGAACTGAAATGACATATAAACAAGTGAGTAAGTCTGCAAGTATTTTGACACTGAGTTGAAATGGCTTGCTATAATTCCTACCAATGGGTCTAGTTCCATCCTCGGAGACCTTCCAATGGAAGTGTAATCACTTTTTCACATGGCAGGACATCAGATACTTGAAGACAGTCATCATGATCTCACATATATATATATATATATATTCCAGGCTAAACATTTATATTTTCATTCAACCATTCTTAAGGTGAGCTTCTTCATCATTCTGCTTGCTTTTATGTAAACTAGTTCTAGATTTCTTATGGTACAGAATACTGAAGAAAATATTCCTAGTATATAGCCAGAGTCTATACATTTTCCAATTATTCATATCTACTGCAAGAAATGATGTAATGTCCTTGCCTTTCACTTAGTAACTATCATGAGTATTTCTTTATGTCATTAAAAACAATCTGTAAATGTATTTTTAAAATTTTAAGCTGAATCCTTTAAAATTGTTTTTATTTTTTGAATGTGTTACATGCACATGGCACAAAATTCAAAACATTCAAGAGGTTTTACGGTAAAATATCATTTTCTCAGGTTTCTAGACAACTATAATATGCTATTCTATAATGTGACGTAATATTTCAAACACCCATTTTTTAGAGGCATAACTCCTTGTGATTATGACACCATCACATGGCTATAGTATATCTTTTTAATCATTCATGTTAAACTTTTTTGCCATTATAAATAATTTTATTATAAACTTCCTTAAATACATAACATTATGAATATATTTTAGATTATTTCTTAAAGTAGTTTCTTAGAAGAAAATTGCTGCACTAAATAGTATAGCTTGTACATGATAACTTTCCACAAAACTACTATTTTTATGTTTGCACCAGTAATATATGTTTATGGTAAATATTATTTTTTTCAGCTTGCTAAATGTCTAAAGGCATTTCACATGTGATGGTCCCTGTCAATATCATACAATTAAATATAGTTAATTGTTTCTTACTTTTTACTAAATATGATGCCTTACAGTTAATATTTGTTATATTTTATCAGTTTACAAGTTTGTTTTATTCGCCAGATTTTAAACTCCTGCAGTCCCATAGGCCTTATTCATATTCTAAAGCTTAACATAGACATTTACACAGAGTAGATATTCCATAAGTTTGTGATATCTAAATGAGTGAATAAACATAATAATCCTACTAGTTTGTTAGACTCTGCCTATATTGTCATAGACTCAAAATTTTATTGATTCTAATTATGCCCATGTAGGATTTAGCCCAGAGCCAACATCAAACTGTTCCAAAGTTTGGAAAAAATAGTATCCTTCCTGATTTTTAATCAGGTAAAAATTTGATAAATACGTATTCTGTCTTCATTTAAGTCAATGAAATACAAGATGACCCAGGATTGTGAATCTGTATTAATAACCTCTGGAGAGGCTGACTGCCATCTAGGAGTCAGTATCCTTTGGATGTTAAGCCCTTCTCTGACAGTACTATCATCTAGCCTCCCCAACCCCTCCAACTTACTCACAAGGGTATTATTTTTTTAAGAAGTCACTAATACTTCATGGGCCCAGATAAATGTTACCTATGGATTTTATTGGTGAGTATCCTAGTAACTCTATCAGGAAGAAAATTAAATTAAACTGAAATAAATTAGTATAGATAAACCTGTGGTGTATTTGATTGATTACTGCTTTCTCTTACAGATGCTCCCAGAGCATCCTTAAATTTTTCCTTTTATATTGTTGCCTAGGATCAACATGGTCCTGGCTGGGTTATCAGGGGTATTAGAGAACCTCAGTTGAATGAATAAAATCCTAGTCAAATAAAGATTATTTATTTGGAAGGGTTTCCATGTGATATGGATTGTCATTTTATATCACTGGCACCCCTGTAGATGTCCATAATCTCTTCTGTGTTTCTGAAGGTTTGTGACTACTTGGATTACTGAAAAAGGACTTTTTCCTATTACTAGTTTAGATAGGGTTGAGTAAAGTACCTGCATACAGATAGCTGTGACTCCTGCTACATGTGAAGCGGGAAACAGTTGTCAATTCTGATCACATGAAATAGTCTTTGGGGAATCTTTGGATATTAGCTTGGCTGCCACATGAATTCCTGGTTCTGGTAACTTGTGGTAACCCCATCAGGTCCTTTTTAAACTCTGGCAATCTCTGTCAGAGCAGAGACTGTGGGGTCTGCAATTTGCTCATTCCATTCTGGTTCACAAAGTCCTGCCAAGAAGTCCCTCAGACCTTCTCTACCCTCCAGAACCCATTTAATTATCTTCTATTCCCTCCAAACCATAATTGTGATGGTTAATTTTATGTGTCAACTTGACTGTGGTAACAGATGTCCAGATAGATGACAAAACAATATTTCTGGGTGCCTTTGTGAAGAAATTAGCATTTGAATCCATAGACTAACTAAAGTTCTGCTCTACCAGTGTGGGTAGACATCATCTGATTCACTAGAGGCCTGCCTAAATAGAACAAAAAGGGCAGGAAAAAGGTGCATTTGCTTTCTTCTTGAGCTGGGACCTCCATCTTCTCCTGCTCTTGGACATCAGAGGTCCTGGTTCTGCGGTCCTCAGACTCTAGGTCTTATACTAGCATCCCTACCCCACATTCTCAGGCCTTACATTGGATGTTAAGTTACTGGTTCCCCTGGTTCTCAACCCTTTGAACTTGATTACACCATTGGCTTTCTTGGTACTCTGGCTTGCAGATGGCAGATCTTGGGTCTCTGTGATTGAGTCAATTCCCATTATCTATCTATCTATCTATCTATCTATCTATCTATCTATCTATCATCTATCTATCTATCTATCTATCTCTATCTATCTATCTATCGTCTATCTATCTATCTATATCTATCTAGCTGTCTGTTTGTCTATCTATCTACCTACCTATCTAAAAAAGATAAACTGAGATAAATAAATTTTAAGTTTATTTGAGCAAATAGTGATTCCCAAATTGGGCAACTCTAAACCAGAAGTGGGTTGGGAGCTCCACTGAAGGAATGCAGTATGGAGGCTTTTATAGAAAGAACATGAAAGTAAGGCAAAGAAAATATTTGATTGGTTACAGTTATATCATTTCTTTCTTTGGTCATCCTCTTGTAAAGTCCCTAGTTACATAATTATAAAGCTGCTTCTGACTGATAGAGCTTAAGTTCTGTTTCTTTAATATATTCATTTACAGGAAATAGCTCAAGTTAAGTTTTAGATTATGTTTGCAAATCAAGTAAGGCTAACTTATGAAGCCTAACTGGGTTTGTCTGCACAGGGATTCTTCAGGCTTGGTCTCCATTTTAATTTGTTTTAACAACATGTATCATTCCGTTGGTTTTGCTTCTCTGGAGAACCCTGACTAATAGACAAGTCTCTTAGAGATATTACTGGATTCTCTTTAAACTCTGTGTATTGATTTTGCAGGGCTTCTGTAACAAATTACCCACAAACTAATGACTTAAAACAACAGAAATTTATTCTCTTATCCAAAATCAACACATTAGCAGGGCTGTACTTCTGTGGGAGGATTGAAAGTCCGTTGTTGGCCTTCTCCAGCTTCACATTACTCCATTCTCTGCCTCCATGGTCACAACTATCCCCTCCTCTTCGCTTCTGTCATATATGAATACATAAAATTGGCTTTTCAGCCCACCAGATAATCCAGGATGATTTCCTCATCTCAAAGTCCCTAATTATATCTGCAAAGACTTTTTAATCTAAATAAGGTAACATCCACAGGTTCTAGGATTAGGAGGAAGACTTACCATTTGGGGGAGCCACCATTCAACCCCCTACATCTTACATAAGAATGTAATTTTTTCCTTCTTTCAAGCTTTGCCTCTTGAAGCTCTGAAGAAATTCAAGACCTGTTTTTTCCTCAGCACCTTAGCTTTGAAGAATTATGTCTCCATTTTAAGAAAATTCAATCTATTCCTTTGTTTCAGATGATTTTTTTTTTTAATTTCTTCTTCTTTTGGTTAAATGACACCAATGGACAAAAAAGTCACTTAGCAAAAACAAAAAAATTCAGGGATTGAGATGTCTACTTTTCAACTTGTAGGCAGATATTTTCCCATGTTTAGTGTTGTATTAGTTTTCCATAATTCCTCAAAGATGGGTACCACTGTTCTCGATCCCATTTGTACTTTTTCCCCAAATCCTGTAATGCAAAACACTCAGAGAAAATGTTATAATCTAAATTCAAACTGTTAGGTACTCTCTTAGAATTTCTTCCCCTAATTAGGAACAGTATTGCTTTCTGTCAATATCTATATTATGCTTTTGAGTAATATTAACACGTTGCTATTTGTTGTGAGCCTGGCTTAGTGTTTTGAATGTATTACTTCTATTAATGGAAAAATTCTATGGGAAACGTATCACTATGTCCATTTTACAGATGAGAAAAAAGATACCCGGAGTAATATAACTAGTAATGTTTTCAAAGACAAAATTACAACAAATTTAAAGTTCTAATTGATTTTTACTAGTGATTTTAGAATTGAGCAGCATCTCATTCTATAAAATAGAATAGGTGCTTCAATAATTAACCAGACATCGCAATTATCTGAGCAGAGGAAGTGGGCAGAAAAGGGCTAAAGAGAGCAGAACTAAGGAATAAAAAGTGTATTGATCATTTTGAAAACTTACTTTACTTACAGGGTTAAAAAAGAGAGACTTTCCTTATCATGCTGACTAAAACCGGCCTGTTGGAAGAGTTGGCTGTTTTCTCCCTCCCGATTTCTTGGAAGGTCAGATAAACAACTTAGTTTTGATTTGGTGACCTGGAGTTTTATTATGAGTGACTCCATTTTGGTTTGGTCTAGAAGGGCCTAGTACAGGAGGGTTTGCCTTACTCCACGAACACATGTTCCTTCTATTATGTCAACCCACTTTTCTAGTTTCCTTTGTCGAGAATGAAGCAAATAACAGTTAAGGAGTTCTTTCTCTGTCAGCTCTAACCTTACACTAGAAGCTGCTAGTAGGCTTTTCCCTTTCTTGATCATCTTCTGGTTCTGAACAGAATTTCAAAAGGCCTGCTCTTCATCCTCCCTTAGTATTTTTTGCAAGTCTCACCTCGTTGGGGAGTTTCAGGTTTCTTGACACTATCCTTTAAGGCCCATGTTACTTTCTTACAATTATTCTTGGTATGTGGTTGCTTTCTCCCAAGGTTTCTGTCACTTCCAATTAGCCAAGCAATTCCTCCTTGTTGTTCAGAATTAGGTTCCACAGTTGCTCTGCTGGGACATTAAATCATGAGAAAGGCAAGTCAAAAACTTGTCAGATGATTTGATTTTATCCCAATAAACTTTTAACATGATTCTGTTAAATTTTCTTTTTTGATTGTTGCATTGCTACAGGTATTGACAAATAGTGTACTGAGGGCATTGTGTTATCAACAATAATTCCTTTGTGGAGAACTGCAATGTAGCAATACATGCTTGAAACCAGTTTTTTTTTTTTTTTTTTTTTTTTTTTTTTTGAAACAGGGTCTCACTCTGTTGCCCAAGCTGTAGTGCAGTGACATGATCGTGGTTCATTACAGCCTTAGCCTCCCAGGCTCAAGCCATCCTCCTGATTGTGAGCTACTATGCCTGGTTAATTCTGTAATTTTAGTGAGACATAGGGGTCTCACTATGTTGTTCAGGCTGGTCTTAAACTCCTGGCCTTAAGTGATCCTCTTACTTCAGCCTCCTAAAGTGCTGGGATTATAGGTCCAAGCCACAATGCCCAGCTGAAATTAGTTTTAAATCTTCTGTATAAAATGCTAACGCAGTTCCAAGCTTCCCATTGTCTATATGTACATGTGGCTATTTTAGCACATTCCCATTTGTCAGCCCCCACTCAAGCTTGCAATGTGGAAAAATATTTTCTGAGAAACTAATCTATTTGTATATCACGTCTTGAGTGTAATCCCAAACAAGAAAATAGAAAATGGAATGGAGATTATGACCTCTTTCAAGCAAAAGATGTCAGAAAGCCTATGAAATAAGATCATAAAGTAGAGGGCCAGGAATTGGGGTGGGCAAATATTATACTTAAAATTTTTGCAAACTTCTAAGATTTAGTATTTCTTTTCATTCTGAACATAAGCAAAAACCCCAGCATCGTTCCAAATATTTTGGTGACTTTTTCACTTGTAAAGATCACATTTTCCTATCACATTATTATATTTGTAGATATCTGAAGATACAATTAGTATTATTTCAAAATTGTACATGAGACCTGCTAGATTTTATTATTTAATTACTTAATGCATTAATAAAAAGCACATGTATAGTATACATTTGTTAAATATTCTTATTACCATATAGTATAATTGATTTTATTTATAATCTTGTATATTATATTTGATGTACAAAAAAAATCACTCTAAAAAGGACTCCATAGATTTCATCAGACTGTCAAAGGGATCCCTGGCAAAAACAAACAAAAAAAGGTTAAGAAGGTCCATTACAGACTCTGGCATGGTAGTTAAAAGCATGTAGTCTGATATTACACTGCTTGGGTTAAAATTTTGCCCTGTCACATATGATATGACTTTGGTTAAATTATATATAATCTTTGTGTCTCAGATTCTTCATGTGTAAAATTGAGATAATAATACCTACCTAAAAGTCTTGCTATGAATATGAAGTATTATCAGTAACAAGCTTAATTCAATGCCAGGCATATGAAAAGAGTTTCATTGGGATCCTATTTACATTTATTTCTCTTAAATACTAATTTTGTTTTACTGTGTTGTCACTGACTAAAGTTTTTAATTATATTTTAAAATATTGACTAGTTTTAAATGACATTTTAAAAATACATGTATGATATAAGGAAGAATGATAAAACCCACATGCCCTCCATCCAGTTTAAGGAGAAGAAAGTTACTTTTACTGTAAAAGAGATGCATATAATTTATTATCCAAACAGTAACAATTTTGGGAGTGACAGTGCTATTAGTCATTACACCAGGAAATCAGCAAACTAGAACTGTGCTAGGCAAACCTGGACTGTTTGGCCAAACCAATACATACAATTATCATACTCTTAAACTCCTTGTTCACTTCTTCCTTACTTCATCCCCTTCCTTCTGTAGCTAGAGGAAATCATTGCCTTGAATTTGTGCTTATCATTCCTTTGCTTTAATTTATAGATTTACTTATGTTTGTACTCTGAAGATGTTTACTTTCATTGGTCCTTTATATAAGTGGAATTCTATTGCAGAATTCTTTTGTGATTTGTTTTCTTACTTAACATTTTGTTAATGTGCTCTTTAAGAAAAAGAAAGTTGAGTCATGATACAGATAAAATCCTGTGGTGGACAACCTCCAAAATGGCACCCAATAATCCCTTCTCATAGTGCGTCTGGGTTGGTGTATGTGTCTTGTATTAGCCTCTTCTGTGTTGCTATGAAACAATACCTGAGGGTGGGTAATTCATAAAGAAAATAACTTTATTTGGCTCACAGTTCTGCAGGCTGTAGGAGAAGCACAGCACCAGCATCTTCTGGTGAGGGCCTCAGGAAGCTTTTCATCATGGGAGAAGGGAAGGGGAGCAGCATAACACATGGTGGGAAAGAAAGCATGAGATGACATGCCCTTTTAAACAACCAACTCTTGTGTGAACTCACATACTGAGAACTTACTAATTTCAGCAAGGACAGTACCAAGCCATTCATAAGGGATCTACCCTCATGAACCAAACACCTCTCACCAGGCCCCACCTCCAACATTAAGAATCACATTTTAACATGAGATTTAGAGGGGACACATATCCAAACCATATCAGTGACCGACAGGTTGGTCACATATCTGTGTAATATGTTACTTTGGGGGCTATGTCAAAAAGGACTTAAAGACATGGTGGCTTCTGCTTCTTTCTCTCTTGGATTACTTGTTTTATGGGAAGCCAGGAAGCTCTATGAAGAGGTACATGTGGTAAGGAAGCATGGTATTCTGCTAAATTGCCAGTGAAGAACTAAAGCTTCCTGTCAATAGCATGTGAAAGTAGATCCTCTGGTATTAGTTAAAACATCAGATGATTGCAATCTCAGGTGATGCTTTCACTGATTAACTTCACAAGAGACACTCAGCCAGAACCATTCAGCTAAGCTGCTTCTGGATTTTTGATCTTCAGACACTACAGGAGATAAGGAATATTTATTGCTTTACATATTATATTTTGAGGCAGTTTGTTATGCTGCAATAGAAAATTAGGATACATTTTGGTACTTGGAAGTGGGGTGTTAACAAAAACTTAAAATGTAAGTGTGGTTTTGGAACTGGCAGTGAGCAGAAGGTACAACTTGGAATAGAGTGTTAATAAAACTTTGAAGAGCCTTTAAGACATTTTTTATAGAAGCATAATAGATAACTTTGAGGAGGCTGCAGGTGACATCTTAACAGATTAGAAAACTCTTACTGGGAACTGGAAGGAAGGAGATCCTTGGTACATGGTAGCAAAAAGTTTGCAAATTCATTACTCACAGCTATGTGTAAAGAAGAAAATATGCCTAATTCACTGGTAGATGTAACGAAGGAGATTGCCAGCCAAATGTTAAATATAAAAAAATCAATGTTAAATATTTCATGTCGTTTTTCTTCTTGTTGCTTATAGTAAAATGTGTGAGGAGAGAGAAAGTCAAAGGAAGGACGAGCCATGGCTGGGCATGGTGGCTTATGCCTAAAATCCCCAGAACCTTGGGAGGCTGAGGTGGGAGAAATGTTTGAAGCCAGGAGTCCAAGGTCACCCTGACCAACAAAGCAAAAACCTGACTCTATTAAAAAAAAAAAAAAAAGTCAAAACTTGCCGGATTTGAAGATTCCCAGCCTGTGCAGATGACAAATGATGCTAAAATTAGGGAATGTCTCTGAGCAAAAAGCAAATCCAGGGCACTGCCAATGAAACATGAAGTTGAGGTTATAAAGTCCCTTAATACCTCAGAAAGATCTTAAGATGTGCCTCAGAGTATTTTCATTCAGACAAAAGATGTGTCTCAGAAAATCTCTGAATAACATCACAGGTTTTTTTAAAAAAGTTTAAGGGTGTTTTCATTGGCAAAAGCCTGAGGTAGAAAAAATTTATGTGGAAGAGATGTGTGTTTGTTGCTTTTGTCTAATGGAGTGAACTTAAACTCAAAATTCACAGTGTGCCAAAAAGTTTTTAAGAGAAGTCTATTAGCAGGAATACTGCCAGCCTGAACTGAAAGGCACAGAGTACCATATGGAAAGAGGCTAGTGGGACATCCAGGCTTCTATTGGCAGAGAGTAGGCAGAACTGTAAACAAGCAAAAGAAAGGGTGACTCAATGAGTAAGTCCCAAGATACCAAAAGGCAGAGCTAAGAAAATTCTAGGCCTTGAATCCTAACCAAGGAACTGCCAATCTGTGCTCAGGTGGGTTTCAGAATTTCTGTGAACCTATGCACCTTCAGTGTTCTGACTTTTTAAATATACATGTCTACATTTATTACCCTATTCATATGGAAGCTACGTCTTTAGCATTTGGGTCTTCAGATCAAAAAGAGCTCTTCTTAAAGAGCTGTACTTAAGTATACCTATGAGTGTCATCCATAACTGGATCTGATTTATATTTCTAGGCTTTGAATTAATGGTATAATAAGATGAGAGCTTTGGAGAGCTTTTGGAGGGGATGAATGTATTTTGCAAATCAAGACCTGTCAATCATTGGAGCCAAACTGTGACAGCCAGTTTCCCAGTATTCATGCTCTTGTGTAATCTCCTCCCACATATTATCAGGGTTATGACTAACAGTATACAGTAGAAGAAATGGTAATCGCTTTGAGTGATCATGGTTTCTGTCTATCTTTTGGATCCCCTGTTCTGGAGAAAGCTAGCTGCCATATTGTGAGAAAACTCAGGCAGCTCTATGAATGAGCCCTCTGGGAAGTGGATCCTCTTAACACCAGTAAAACTTTCAGAAAACTACAGACCAGCCAACATCTTGACTGCAAATTTATGAGACCCTGGGCCAAAATACCTAGCTAGGCCACCCCTGGAATCCAAACCCTAAGAAAGTATATAAATATTTTTAGGTTTAAGTTAGGGTAATTTGTTATATAGTAAGATAACTAATGCAAGGTCACAGGCTGCTTCATATTGAAGTAAGTCTCTTGTAATCCATGGTTTTCTCCACTTGTCCTTCTCCCTCTCTCTTTCTCCTGCAATGTATTTGTTGAAATTTGTCCTGATATTCTCCACAATTGGAGCTTTCATTTATATTTTCCATTCCAAAACATTACATGGTTGTAGGTTTCATTGGTGTTTTATCTCCTGTAAGTTGAATGGATCTAAAGACCTGATTAGTATCAGGGTCAAGTTTTTGGTAAGATTTTTTAAATCAGTAGCAGTGCTTTTCCATTAACAAGCATGTTTTCTTGTCTGTCATGTTAGCAGCTGGTGACATACAATAAATAAATCCATTTATTCATTAGGAATTTCAAAATGGCAATTTTCAAATTCTATAATTCTTCCACTTATTAGCTGGAATACATGTTTTAAAAGAAACCTATCCTCAGCTACTATTTGGTTACCAACAGTTCACATAGAAAAAGCAGGATAAGTGCCTACTTACTTTAAAAAAAAAACAAACTGGTTTCTGTTGACCAAGTAAATGCTGTTTGTTTTACAATCATAGTGAATTAATAGATTTAAAGACACTTGATGCATTCCAATCAATTACATTTACCGTCCTTGATACTCAAATAGTCTCATCTATGGCCAGAGGAATGCTTTTCAGTTGTCTCCTGAGTCCATTTGATATAACACCCTAGTAGTCTATGATAGCTTCCTTGCTATCTTGCACAGTGAAGTATTCCAAGCTCATCTTCCGGTACATGACTGAAATTAACCACTATTCCAAGAGTTTATGGTGTCTTTTACAGAGTTTTTTAAAACCTTAATGTATTTGAATGCATATGTTTTTCTTTATGCATATTACATTTCCCTAAGATCATAAAATATTTTTGCAATCTTTCTTCTGAAGGTTTAATGTTTTCCTTTCACACCTACATCTTAAAGTCATCTGAAACTACTTTTTCTATATGGTGTTAGGTAGGGAGGACCAATTTCATTTTTCTTCCATATGAATATCCAGCACCATTTATTGAAATGCTCTTGTTTTTCCTGCTGGTATGCAATGCCATCTCTGTCATAAATCAGGAGTCCTTACAATCAAGATTCATTATACATCAATTTTTCTATCTCTAAGCCAGTATTACAATACCCTAATTACTACAGTTTTAACAGATTTATTGAGGTACAATTCATATACCAATTTACTCATTTAAAGTGCACAACTGCATGTATTCTAGTATACCAACAGAAATGTGCAACTATACATTTTAGAACACTTTTTACTTCCTCAAAAAGAAACTCTGCACACTTTGGCTATCGCTACCCTGGGCCCCCATGCCCCCAAACTTTGTGAGCCCTAAACAACCACAAATCTTTTGTCTCAATACATTTCCTACTTTAGACATTATATTTAAATGGAATCATGTGGTCTTTTGTGACTGGCTTCTCTATTTCAGCATAATGTATTCAAAGTTTATACATGTTAAAGCAGGTATCATTATGTCATTCCTTTTTGTAGCCAAATATATTCCATTATATAACTGCATCACTTTTTGTGTATCTTTTCATGGATAAACACTATCTTTTCATGGATATTTGAGTAATTTTTTTGCTGTTGTGAATGTCTACAAATCAATTCTATCTTAAATCTGCTTCTGGAGTATCATGAATTCTGCTCTTTGTCACACAGACTTCAGAATCAGTTTGTCAATGTCAAGCTTCTTGAAAAACTCATTTGGGATTTGTATTGCAATTACTTTCATTGCATAGGGGAGAACTGCCATTTTAACTTAAGTCTTTTAATAACTGAACATAGCAATTTTAAAATCAGAAATTCTTTAATGTCTCTCAAAGTTTTGTAATTCTTTTTCTATAGAGGTCTACTATATCTTTTAAGTTACCTATAGGTGATTCATTTTTTTAAAGGAATATAGTAAATAGTCTTACAAAAAAACATTTTCTAACAGTTCATTTCTGCTGGAGAGAAATGCAATTCACTTTTGCATATTGATAGTGTTTTTAGTCTGTTTTCACATTGCTATAAATACCAGAGACTGAGTAATTTATAAAGAAAAGGGGTTTAACTGGCTCATCGTTCTGCAAACTGTACAGGAAGCAGTGGCTTCTGCTTCAAGGGAGGCTTCAGGAAGCTTCCAATTATGGTGGGAGGCAAAGGGGAAACATGGGCAAGAGAGAGATACCACACAATGTCAACTAGATCTCGTGAGAACACATTATTTCAAGGACAGTACCAATAGGATGGTACTAAATCACTAATGAGAAACTCATCCCCATGATCCAATCACCTCCAACATTGGAGATTACGATTCAACATGAGATTTGGGTGGGGACACAGATTCAAACCGTATCAATAGTATATCCAGAATCCTTGCAAAGCTCTTTAATAATAATTTACCAGTAGACTAAGTTATGTTTATTTCCAATTTTTAATATTTTGTTTTTCTTGCCTTATAATTCTCGCTAGGATCTCCAATGTAGTACTTGTTCCTGACTCTAAGGGTCTGCTTCAAATACTTCATCTTAAAATATACGTTGCTGTAGGTTTTATTGGCTTAAGGAAGTTCTACACAATTCTAATTTGCCCAAAGGTTTTATTGATGTCTGTTATTTTTTCAAATACTTTACTTTTCCTGCATCTGTTCAGATAACTAGATAGTTTTTCTCCTGGTCTGACGCCCAGGCTGGAGTGCAATGGCACAATCTCGGCTAACTGCAACCTCCACCTCCCGGGTTCTAGCGATTCTCCTGCCTCAGCCTCCTGAGCAGCTGACATTACAGATGCCCTCCATTGAAAATTAGTCTGGCTAATATTTTGTATTTTTTTAGTTGAGATGGGCTTTCACCATGTTGGCCAGGCTGCTCTCAAACTCCTGACCTCAGGTGATCCACCTGCCTCGGCCCCCTACAGTGTTACGATTACAGCTATGAGCCACAGCAGCCAGTCTCCTCTAATCTTTTAATATAATAAAATACATTCCTGGTTAAATTCCACCTGATCATGATATATTATCTTTTTTAAAAAAACACATTTTCCGAGGTCTGTTTTATTTGGAATTTTTGTCTTTCTTTGTGAATATGACAGGGCTCTAATTCTTACTGCCCTTATGAAATTTAACAGCAGGGTTACAGAAGCCTAATACGATAATTTTAAATTTGATAAGAGGCAGTCTTATATACCGTGGAATGGTCTTCTATAAAATTGAAATGTCCCCATTTTCACTTTTAATAATCTTTGTGTCTTTTCCTTCTTTCTTGGCTAATCCTGTCAAAGGTTTGTCAATGTTGTTAGTTTGTTAAAAGATACAACTTTTGGCCGGGCGCAGTGGCTCACACCTAAAATCCCAGCACTTTGGGAGGCTGAGGCAGGTGGATTACGAGGTCAAGAGATCGAGACCATCCTGGTCAACATGGTGAAACCCCATCTCTACTAAAAATACAAAAAATTAGCTGGGCATGGTGGCGCATGCTTGTAGTCCCAGCTACTTGGGAGGCTGAGGCAGAAGAATTGTTTGAACCCAGAAGGCAGAGGTTGTGGTGAGCGGAGATAGTGCCATTGCACTCCAGCCTGGGTTACAAGAGCGAAACTCCATCTCAAGAAAAAAAAAGATACAACTTTTGGATACACTACTGCTCTGACTGGATCATTATAGAAGATGTAGCAAAACATTTATACCAATAAATATGTATAAAGTATCAAGTAAAAAATAAATTCTTTTTATAACTTCTGTTACCCCTCTGTATTGACTATTTGCTTTCTGTTTTATTACTTAAACTTTATTTTTTCCTTCTATATTCCATTCTCTCCTAATCCTTTAGGTTAGACTATTTAATCTTTAATTTTCAGTATTCCTTGAGTACTTAAGGCTTTTGATTTTCTTGAAAGTAATGTAGCTACATTCTACAGGTATAAATAGTAGAGTATTTTTGTCTTTGTTCAGTTCTGAATATTTTCTATTTATCAATGAAATTCTTTCTTTGAATTTCACCCATCAAGTGGACTATTTTCTAAATATATGAGGTTTTCTAGAGTTGTCATTTTTTATTTCTAACTTAATTATACCGCGATTACAAAAAATGATCTAAGTGAATGCAATCTTTTGAAATTTTAAGACTTTTATATGGTTAATTTTTGTAAACAGTTCAGGTGTACTTATTTTTTTTTTTAAATTTCTCCTCTTAGTAATGATGGGTTAGCTAATTTAGACCTCTTCTGAAGAACAATTAGAAGATTTGGAGAATATATATATTATATATATTTCATATATTTTATATATATATATATATATAATATATGAATTTATTTTTCCAAGAGACAAGGGTGTTGTTATGTTGCCTGGGCTGGTCTCAAATTCCTGGCCTTAAGGGGTGCTCCCACCCTGGCTTCCTGAGGTGCTAAAATTACAGACGTGAAGCACCACCCTCAGCTTGGACAAAAATAAAACAAACATCTGAGAGCATAAGACAATGAAATATTCAGAAGGAAAAAAGTTGTTGAATGCAGCATTTACAGTAGCTTTTCCTCTGGAGTATCTTCCAATTCATGAGATGATGGCTGAAAAGGTGAACAGAGCTTCTAACTAATAGAATTAAAAAAACAAAAACTGGAGTTTAAGGCCTGCTCTGGTAAATTCTGCATGCTTGAGTTGGGACTTCAAAGGTCTATACTCTGAGAGAAATTTCTGCTGAACTGAAAGTAGACCTGCCTATATTGTAATTATATCTATCACTAACTGGATTAAGATGATCTTGGATTACTAGTGTCCAAAGGTCCTGCCAGGAGACATAAATACTTTCTTTAGAAAATACCATCATATTGGACTACAAAGCATAGTTTCCTCATAAATAATTCAATCAAAACAGTTCTGACATTCAATTAAAACATAACCTAAACATAGTTTTATATATTTATAATGTTTATAAAATAAGCAAATATTATAAAATAACATAAAAAAGGGACATAAAAGAAAGACAATGTGATAACAACAAGAAACACAAAAAGTGTCAGATAATAATGGACACCATAGTTATTAGATACAGGTTTTACAGTAATTGTGATTAGAATGTTTGAGGAAATAAAAGATAGAGATATTTGATAAACAACTGGAAACAATAAAACAGAATCAAGTAGAAATGTTTGAACTGATAACAACCAAAAATATAGCTAAAATAAATGTTTCAAAAGAAATTTTTAACAGATTAGTGACTATTAAAATAGTGAACTGAAATTTAAGAAGAAATATTCAGGATGAAACAGAGAGAAGAAAACAAATGGAAAATACAAGGGACAAAGTGAATTGTCAAATACACATGTTAAGTGGAGTACCAAAAGAAGAGGAGAAAGGAGAGTGAAGGCAGACCAATGCCTGATAAAACAGAGCTGAGAATTTTCTAAAACAGTCTAAGGACATCACATCAGATTCAAGAAACATTACAAATCTCAAAGAGGAAAAAAAAAAAAAAAAGAAGACAAAAAATACAACCAAACAAAAAGCAACATGTGGGCACATCAAACTTAAGACAAACCTCTTAAAGGTAGCCATGCAAAAAAAGAGATCACTTTTGAAGAGGAAAAATAAAAAAGGACATAATGTCTCATAAGATATAATGGAAGCCAGAAGGAATAAAATCTATCTTTGAAATGATAAAACAGCTGCTTATTCAGCAAAAAGGTTCTTAGAAAATGAAAGTAAAATACGACAGTTTCAGGAGAGAAAATCTGAAAGAATTTGTTACCAGTAGACATATAAAGATATATTAAAGTATGTCTTCAAGAAGAAGAAATAAGATTTCAGATGGAAGCTCAGATTCCAGGAACCACAAAACACAATAAAAGTAAATCTTTGGGAAATTGCATATTGAATAAAAAACAATAATGAGAATAATAAAATAATAAAAATTTATTCTCAAAATTTAAATTCTTTAAATAATGAGAATTTAAAAATAAAAAAATGAAAATTTAGGAAATACATATTAAGAATATACAAAGTATGTAATATGGAGTGTGGAAGTAAATGAAGTGTTCTCAGGTCCTTACATTGTCCTGGAAGAAGTATAATACCAAATTACCTTAGAAGATGATAAACCCAAGTTCCATGTTTTAATACCTGAGGTGAATAGTTAAAAAAGAAAATAAAAGATATCTGTCAAGCTTTGGGGTAGGAAAAATGGAATAATTAAAAATAATCTAAAAGGTCTACAGCCATACCACCCTGAATATGCTGTTCTCATCTGATCTGAGAAGCTAAGCAGGGTTGGGGCTGTTTGGCAGTTGGATCAGAGTCTCCCTCGGAATACCAGATGTTACAGGCTGAATTCAAAAAGAAATCCAAAAGGCAAAAGAGCAAATGAACCTAGGAGAGGTGGGACAAATAAAAAAGGAACAAGGAAAAATTTAAATCCAAATATGTTAGTAATTATGTTACATGTAATCAGACTAGATACTCCAATTAAAAAACAAATTACCAAAGTGGATTTTAAAAATGTATTTTATCACTCTTTGTATTAAAATGTTCTAATTTTTTTTCCATTTGCACAAAGAATAAAGTCTAAATTCTTTCCTATCTTTCAAAGGTAACATGATCTAGCCCTTTCCTATGCCTCTAAAGTTACAGTATTCTCCTGTTAAGTCACTATGCTCTAATCACAAAGGCCTTCTTTTGTCTCCTGAAGTATTCTAAGCTAGATCATGCCTTAGATTCTTTGCACTGTTGTCCTTTCTTGCAAGCAACGGTTTCCCCGAGTTTTACATAGCAGCTTACATGGTACTTTATTTTCCTTAATCACCTAATCTAAAATAGTCATGTTTGAATTTCATGCCTAGTACTTACCATTATCTTCTATTTTTGTTAATTTATGATTTATTGCTACTAAAATGAAAATTTCCTCATAGAAGAGAAAATATCTGCTTTATTTACTATTTCCTCAAGAGTGTAGAAGAGTGACTGATACAGTTTGATATTCAAAAAATATTTAATGAATGAATAAAGCTAATTAAAGTTTTAAACAGATAGATACTTTCAGATGGTTTTGTCTTTTTATTGCTCTTGGTGGCACTGGTTGCTTAAAGACTTTCTTGATGCCAAAAAGTATCAAATGGAGTCAAGTTCCCATTATGTATGTTAGTGGTCCTTGAAAATGTGCATTGTACAATCTGTGTAAAATTGCAAGAAATATTTCACCAATTAATCAGACATGTGGCATATTCCTAAACATAACTGTGGTAAGCTACATGAAAATAAAACTTCAGAGGAAGTCTACTGAATTGTTAAAGGTTGCAGTGTACTTCAGAATAACATTTAAAACATTTTTTTCCAACCTGAAAGATGACAGTAATATAGTGAATGTTAAAAAGCATAATGTAATGTTGAAAAAAAACAAAAAATCATATTTATTTATTTATTTACTTTTGAGATGAAGTCTTGCTCTGTCATACAGGCTGGAGTACAGTGATGCAATCACAGATCACTGCAACCTCTGCTTCCCAGGTCCAATCCTATCACCTCAGCCTCCCAAGTAGGCGGGTGAGACTACAGGGGTGTGCTACCATGCCCAGCTAATTTTTCTATTTTTTGTAGAGATGGGGTTTTGTCATGCTGGTCAGGCTGGTCTTCCTGACCTCAAATGATCTGCCCAACTCGGCCTCCCAAAGTGCTGGGATTACTGGCATGAGCCACTATGCTCAGTGTTAAGATTAAAAAAAAAAAAAAACAAACCCAATATAGAAAAGCTGTTTTAGAGAGTCAATGCTAGCAGTGGTGACTGATATATTTTGGTTACTTTTTACTCTCTGTGCTTAGGATTTTTTTCATGTCAAAGCAATCATACTGGGCACAATTTTGGATCCTGCTATCTTAATCTGGGCTGGTATAACCTAAGTACCATAAACCGGGTGACTTAAACAACAGAAATTTATTTCTCACAGTTCTGGAGGCTGGGAAATCAGAGAAGAGAGTGCTAGCATGATTGGCACAAATCAGGCCCCCTTCCTAATGTGTAGTTAGTTGTCTGTTTTCTTGTATCCTCACATTGTGAAGAGCAAGAAAGAGGGGAAGCAACCTGTCTAGTGTCTATTCTTGTAAAGGCACTAATTTCATGAGGGCTTCACCCTCATTACTTAATTGTCCCCCAAAGGCCCCACCTTCTATCATGTCATTGGGGATTAGGGTTTCAACATATGAAATTTTGTGTGGAGGGAGGGAGGACACAAACATGCAGTCTATATACGCTTCTTAGTTTTTTGAGACAAGATCTTGCTCTGTTGCCTAGGCTGGAGTGCAGTGATGTGACCTCAGTTTACTGCAGCGTCTACCTCTTAGTCCCAAGTGATCAGCTCACCTCGGTCTCCTGAGTAGCTGAAATTACCAGCACAAACATCACAGTCAGCTAATTTTTAAATTTTTGTAGAGATGAGGTCTCACTATATTGCCTAGGCTAGTCTCTAACTCCTGTGCTCCAGTGATCCTCCCACCTCAGCCTCCCAAAGTGCTGTGGTAACAGTAGTGAGTCATTGTGCCTGGCCTAAAACGCTCTTTTAACTTAGAAAATAAACATTTTCCATTAGAAAGACTAGTTCAGTGGCTTTTTAAAAGAGCTAGATAATATTCCACTAAACATATAACAATTGATCAAACTTATTATTGTACGTAATACTGCAACAAACTTTTTACCATTGTAGGTATTACTACAAATAACATCTTTGCCGTAAAGCGCTTTAAGGGCAATTTAAACGTTTACAACATTCATTCAAATTATATTTCTTAAGGGAAAGGCAGGAAAACAAAACAAGGTCCCAGCTCTGGCAGAATTTATAGTCTAATTAGGAAAACAGTATATGTTAGGGAAAAAAAAAAAAAATTACAATGAAAGCATATGACACACTTGTTCAGAAAAAGCAGAAATGTCTTAAAGGAAAAACTAATAACATTTTGCAAAAAAGTATGGCCTGAATTGCAAAAAAGTTATATTATCTTAATGGCTGAAAGAGTTCCAGGTCACTGTGGGTAGCGTAACTTTTTGTTGGTCTTGAAAGCACTTGAGAATCGTTCTCACTCAGGACATTTCGACTGATGATAAAGCCCTAAAGGAAGCAACCAAGACTTTCTCAAAGATTATGCTCCTAATTTCCTTGCTGAAACTACTGAATTTCTTTTACTCTCCATCTTCTATTTTTTCTTCCCTTTCATTATTGTCCCCTTTGTAACTTTGTTAAAGATACCCACTTATTTTAAGTAATGGAAATGGAAATTATTCTACTTTAAGGCAGGCAACCAATAGATAGCAATATTATTCTACAAAATAAGAAAGACTGGATGGCACTACCTTAAAACATATATGCATTTTAAGCATTAAAAAGATTTTTCAAATGTAATATAGAAATGTGTGAAACAGAACGTTAAAGAATATTAACCAAGAATTATTTATCAACTTGCCATACACCAAATAAGGAACACAGAACTCTGTGATCTATTAAAAATGATATGCAGATAATAAAAACTGCTATTTCGTCTTATGGTTTTACTCTAGCAGGAATGAATTCCATCCTGATAATTCTAGTTTTACTGTCACAAAGAGGGAGATACTTTGTAAACCTCAATGAGACTGCCAGGTTTAGGACAGATAGAAGAACCACAGTGCCAGAAATGAAAGAGTGCAACTTCACAGAATGTGTTGTCTCTAACAGGCTGATAGCCACTTACCTTCTCCATGTTTTCTTCTCCAAGGATAGCAGCTGCTTCCCACAGATACACCAACAGACAATTCCAGCCCCTCTCTACCACACTTAGCATTTGCAGAACGCCCTGTGGCTTGTCTATTTACAACCTTGTCCCTACATAGCAGAAGAGGAACCCTTCAGGAAGTTCTGGATGCATCCTCAGCAAGATCTGTTTCACAAACTATTCTCCAGTTCCACCTCCCCTCCAGTTGTTCTGTCAATACTTATGATTCCTAGATCTTCTTTAATTGTCATGCTGTTCGTCCCCCCACAAAACCAAGTTTAAACTTAAAAAACAAACAAACAAAAAAGTCTCACGCATTCAGTCTGTGTCCCCTTTCCTGATACAAAGCAACTGCCGTGTGCATGCTTCTTTTAGATTGCTGAGAACTCCGATTCCGAGTCTTTGGGCCATTTATAGCTTGGATACCACACCCTCCAGGTACTTTGATAAGGAGGGTAAAACTTAATATCTGTAACTACGTCTGCCTACTCAACCTTCTTTACTTCTCCCAAAACTTCCTTACTAATTCCAATTTTGTAACAAAACGTCACACTATGGTAGAAAGTGACCTCATGGATGAAATTACTGATAGCTACAACTTAAGTAAAGATCCCCAAGTTATGAGACAAATTTCTGGGTTTAAAGTGTTCTGTATATCCATTTCAAGCCTGCCTCCAGTACGATGTCTCATTATAATTAAATAAAAAGGGAGAGAAAGTTGACTGGAACAGAGTTTGGAAAAAACACAAAATTAAAAGGTATATGGGGGGTTTCACTTATTTGCCTCTGATATATATATATCTACATGGAAAACGTCCATATTGGAATGTGTTAAACAGGCAGAATTTTCTTCCTGGTTTCTCTGCTCTTGGTAGATGTTCTTCTGACTTCAATTGGCACCTGTGAATAGCGAAGAAACTTCTCACTATAAGACGCTATTGCCCTGAGGGAGGGTAGAGCTAGGGTACCCATTAAGGCAGGGATCAGAAGCAACAGAAGAACAGGTCTGTGGAAAAGTGGATATGCTAACATGGGATCGAGTCGGGAAAACGAGAGGGTAAAAAGAGGGCGTCAGTTAAGCTGAGGAAAATACAGCCAAACGTGGTCTTTACTTTCTCTAAATCACCTGGGTCTGGAGTCGACTCCCATCGCGCATCCTCACTCCCACGCGCGGCCCTCCGCCGCCCCTCCCGCTCCCCACACCAATGTGTTCCTCCGTCACCTCTAAGACAGAGGATGAGCACCAGCTGAAACCACCCAACCTACCTCAGGGTCCTGGTAAACGCAGCCACTTGCGCTCCGCCCGCCCACGCACCTGTGCTGCGCCTGCGCCTCCTACGCGCTCTCAAGGTCAGCACCGCCCCCAGCCCATAACTTGGCACCCACGGAAGTTGCTTTAGAGGACGTCTTGCGTATCTTCACCTCAGCGTGGCGTGGGGTCGACGTAACGCTGAAGTTGGGAGGAACTTCCTGTCCCGCGCACGTAGAACTTCCGGCAGAGCCGGAAGACCCTCTCTCTCGCTGTTTGAGAGGCTCCCGGTTCAAGGACCCGGAGGGAAGAGGTGTGAGACTGTCCCGGCGACTCCAAGGTGTCTAGTCCACGACCTATCCTAGGTACCATGGTGAGTTATTCTGTGGGTGCAGGAGCGACAATATTGGAGCGAAAGGGCCGGGAGGTCAGTCCTGTGAAAAGAGCTGTCGGCTGCTCTGCTCTGAATGGAGTTGAAACGTTGGGATGAGCGGCTGAGCAGGACCCATCACCTGTCCCAGGGTGTCTGAGCCCTTGAGGAAGCAGCATCAGGCCTGCCTGGCTGGAAGACTAGCGGGCAGGAGGTAGGGGAGTCTCTGTCAGCGAGTGTGGACTGGGTAGCCTGCCTGTTCGTGGCTCATTCACTGTATGACCTGTGGCGCCAGGTGATCCCAGAGTTGACCTTGACGGGTCAGTCACCTCTGCGCCCCACTACCCAGTCGCAGAACAGTGGCCAAGGACTTCAGATCTTAGAAATGCTTTTAGCCTTTCCAAGTGGACACAACGAGTCCCCTTGTACAGGATCAACACCTGTCATTTAAAGAACGGCAACGTCGCCTTATTCTTTACATTTAGCCATTTCATAATTGAAAAGGTGTCAAATAAAAAACCCGAGTTTAGTAGGGACAAACTTTATTCGAAAGGAATATGGCAAGCGTGTGGAGGAAGGTTGAAGGAACTGTTGCAGTAGAAAGAATGACCATAAGATTTGCAAGTGTCTTAAAGGTTAGGTAGAAAGGGTTTGTCTTTTATAGGGAGGAGTAAATAAAATGTAAGGAATTGGGATGAAAAGGTGGGTATGCTCCGACAGTAACCAGATTATGTTTTACCTTGAGGCCGTCTATTCTGAGGAGGAGCTCTTAAGAGAGGTTTGTATATGTTGTTTCAGAACGAGGGAAGGGGGCCGAGAACTTAAAGTTTGGCTAGTAAGTATTTTGTTCTGATTGATCTGTGGGACAGGTACTTCAGCATGTCATTTACGAAGCAAAAGATGGAAATTAGAAGGATCCACTTATGGCCTTGTTATGGCTCCCCTAGTTAAACAAGGGGATGGGGGTTTTGGATCAACCCTCAGTCTTATCTGAGTTCTACAGGAAAGGTGATTCTTTGCAATAAGCCAGTTTTTCAGAACACAAACAGGGGCAAGGGGTTTCTTAACCTTTACTGTTTTTCGAGATCACAGCACTCTGGTGGGGTTCATTACAGTCAGTTTCTTGATTGTATAGAAGATATGAAACCCTCACCTGCAGGAGCCTCTGACCTGGAATTTAGCTTCAGTTTGCCCTGTATTTTCAGGGCCAAATATTGCCAACGTTCAGTTAATGTGTGTTGTTGTTGGCTTTTGAATGACTTTTAGAAACTTAGTTGAGTGTAAAACAAAGACCTTCAAAAGAATGTAGTTCCTGGTGTACTTTACCAGATAACCTATCTCTTCAAAGGTTTTTTTTTTTCTTATTTATTATTTTTTTAACATCAGTGAATAATGTGGTTTGTAGTAAGAGAGTTGTTTTTCATTTGTATCAGTGAAATTAGATGAGGATAGGGAAAACAGAACTGGTAGGAACCAAAGCCTAATTATTCACCCTTCACCCCCATTTTTTTTTTTTTTTTTAATTTGAGACAGAGTTTCGCTCGTTATCCAGGCTGGAGTGCAATGGCACAATCTCGGCTCACCGCAACCTCCGCCTCCTGGGTTCAAGCAATTCTCCTGCTTCAGCCTCCCGAGTAGCTGGGACTACAGGCACGGGCCACCATGCCCAGCTAATTTTTGTATTTTTAGTAGAGATGGGGTTTCACCTTGTTGACCAGGATGGTCTCAGTCTCTTGACCTTGTGATCCACCCGCCTCGGCCTCCCAAAGTGCTGGGATTATAGGCCTGAGCCACTGCGCCTGGCCTCCATCCCCATTTTTACAGAAAAAAGAATCTGGGGTCCAGAAATTGACAGTGATTTATCTAAGGTAACAATAGCTGCTTGGCAGTCTGAACTAAAACTCATATTTTCATTTTTAAAATTTGAGATTAAATTTTGACTTTTTGGTCTGAAAAGTTGAAGAGAAAGTATGATTAAAATACTTAAAATCATCATACAGAAAAGCTAAATGTGAACTTGTTCTCAGTGTTCTGGAATACTAGAAGTAGAACCCCTCTCATCCTGTCAGTTCAAAAGAGGTAGTTATGTTTGAAACTAATGTAATCTTGTGCAGTTTTTCTGAATGTAACTTTAGAACTAACTAGTTGGCTGTCTTTATTCTGGAATTGCTTATATTTCTGAGTTAATTCTGTTGGCTGAATTTTATCTTTCCCAGCTATGAAATTGATAATGTCTGTATATGCAAGTGTGGTTAATGCTTGGAATTTTTCAAAGGAAAGGGTTTAACCATTAAATGAAGTGAACATGGGCTGAATTTATTGAGGATTCAGCTTATTGAAATCAGAACTTGTTTTGCATTGATGGGGCCTAATGATATTATTAAAAGAACATTGGTCTTGAACTCAGAGGACCCAGATTCTGCACATTGTTAGTTGTATGGATTTGAAAAAGTCACTCAATGTTGATAAGAGTTCCAACTCCCTCCTAGATAAGAGAACTTGAGGGGTATTAAAGCACTTTCTTACATTATGATTCCATGACTACTCAGAACATTTTTCAGGATAGTTACATGTTTCGGATTGAATAAAATTGAGTCTGATTTCCACTGTTGAGTTTCCATGCCATTTTGGTTCAAGTTTGATATCTTTTATCATTCTTTTTTTCTATGTTTTCGTAAGTCACATACAGGTAATACCTGGAACCTTTGTATGTTTGGCCAAGTCTTTCACTACTGTCTTAAATACTGCTCCAAAATAGAAAGCAATCTTGGAATGTTTTGATTTAATTCTTGTTTTAATCAGTGATAACTAATTCTTTGCTCTCATTCTCTGATACATTATGTAGACCAAATCTCAGCAGATACCTGTGCATATAATAAGGTTCTTGTATTATGAGTGAAGGAGAATAGGATTATGATCCAGACTCGAAAATACTGAACTCATGCTTTGTTTTTATGCTTTCAAGTTGTTGTAAAGACAGTTTATAGGAAATTTACTAATGGAACAAAGCCATTTGCTCTATTGCACTTTACTTTTTGAAAATTACAGACCAACTTTGATCAGATAGAAATCTTTCCATCATTCAAGCTAATTTGTGGGTAATAGGTAGATTAGAGCTAGCTCCTGGAATTGCAGGCTTGTGTCTGTGTATCATCCTGTAGTAGCTTACTGCTGGAATTGAACGATGGTTTGTGGGCAGGTGTGGAAGAGTGGATTGTGGGGAGGTTGTAAATCTTTGCCATAATCAATTGGATTTAATGAGAACTTTTCTTTTTGAGGGAAGTAAAGGGGAGTTTGGGGAAGAGTATAGTAAATGTTTTAAGAGAAGCACGTGTGATATGTTCAAAGAATACAGAGGAAATAAATTAATTCTAACTGAGGGGGGTTGGGTCATGTAGTAGGTGACAAGTTCCCAACCCATGGGACTGTGAACTTGTACTGGTCCGCAGCCTATTAAGACCTGCATTACACAGCAAGCGAGTATTAATACCTGAGGTTCACATCCTGTCAGATCAGTGGTAGCATTAGATTCTCATAGGAGCGCAAACGCTATTGTGAACTGTGCATGCGAGGGATCTGGGTTGGGTGCCCCTTATGAGTATCTAATGCCTGATGATCTGAGGTGGAACAGTTTCATCCCGAAGCCATTCTCCCTCCACACTGTTCTCCCCACCCCCCGCTGTGTGTGAAAAAATTGTCTTCTGTGAAACTGGTCCCTTGTGCCAAAAAGGTTGGGGCCTGCCGTGGTAGGTGACTTCAACTGAGTTTTGAAAAGTGGGTTAATATACTAGTTCTCAAACTTGAGTTTGAATAGGAATCCCCTGTGATACTTGATAAAAAAGACTTCTCTGGGCTGGTGCAATGGCTCATGCCTGTAATTGCAGCCTAGGTGGGTGGATCACCTGAGGTCAGGAGTTTGAGACCAGCCTGACCAACATAGAGAAACCCTATCTCTATTAAAAATACAAAATTAGGTGGGCATGGTGGTGCATGCCAGTAATCCTAGCTACTCAGGAGGCTGAGGCAGGAGAATCCCTTGCTACAGTGAGCCAAGATCTAGCCTTTGCACTCCAGCCTGGGCCACAAGAGTGAAACACTGTCTCAAAAAAAAAGAAGACCAAAAAGCAAAACAAAACAAAACAAAACAAAAAAACACTTCTCTGGGCTTATAAAATTGAGGGTGGCATGAGTTTTAGAATTGTCTTTAAAAAAAATTTTTTTTTGTGAGACGGAGTTTCGCTTTTGTTACCCAGGCTGGAGTGCAATGGCACGATCTCGGCTCACTGAAACCTCCACCTCCTGGGTTCAAGCAATTTTCCTGCCTCAGCCTCCCGAGTAGCTGGGACTACAGGCATGCACCACCATGCCCAGCTAATTTTTGTATTTTTTAGTAGAGACGGGGTTTCACCTTGTTGACCAGGATGGTCTCGATCTCTTGACCTCGTGATCCACCTGCCTCGGCCTCCCAACATGCTGGAATTATAGACGTGAGCCACTGCACCTGGCCTTTTAAAAAAATTTTTTAAATTTTATTTTAAGTTCTGGGATACGTATGCTGAACATGCAGGTTTATTACATAGGATGTGCTATGGTAGTTTGCTGCATCTATCAACCTGTCATCTAGGTTTTAAGCTCTGCATGTATTAGGTATTTGTCCTAATGCTCTCCTTCCCTGTCCTCCCCACCCCCGACAGGTCCTAGTGTGTGATGTTCCTCTCCCTGTGTCCATGTGTTCTCATTGTTTAACTTCCACTTGTAAGTGAGAACATGTGGTATTTGGTTTTCTATTCCTGTGTTAGTTTGCTGAGAATGATGGTTTCC